CTACCCAGTTTGACCAAAAGGCAGATACTATAGTGTTTGCAGTAATATCTTTTAAAGGTATAGCTTCAGGTCACCCTGAAAAACGATCAATCATTGTTGAACAATAGCGATACCCTTTATCCATTGGCATCACAATGATGTCGATATGTACATAGTCGAAACGGTTGTCTGGCATGTCGATTTTAATTGGCCGAAAAGTATTGTGTCTGTGTATTTTTGCTCGTTGACAGGGTAAAAAATTTCGCACCCAATCAATTATATCTGTTCGCATGGAGGGCCAGATGTATTTTTGTTTTATCTGATGCAGGGTGGATCTTCCTCTGGGGTGTGACATGCCGTGAATTGATGCGAAAACTTCATGACGCAAAGATACTGGCACGTATGGTCAAATTATTTCTGTAGACACATCGCAGAACAAGGAATTTTTGTCGTTGAAAACAATTGCTTGCAGCTTCAAAGATGTTTCCCCGTGCAACAGCGTTTTAATTCTTGATCGTTTTATTGTTCCTCTACAACGGTTGATAAATTGACAGCAGTTGGCAGCGATACAGCTGAAACACGAGACAGGGCATCCGCTACCGCATTGTCACTCCCAGATAAGTGTACAATGGTTGTTGAAAATTGGGAAATGAAATCGAGATGGCGGAGCTGCCGAGGTGACGCCTTCTCTGGTTTCTGTTTGAAAGCATATATCAGCGGTTTGTGAACCATTTTAATGACGAAAACTCGAAAAAAACCCGAGTGGTACCCAAGAGCCCTAGTCATATTGTTCTACGGCAGCATCAGCTGATGGATGTGCAATTAGCGCAGCATTCGCAACGCTGTGTTTGCAGTTGTTAAACGCATGGAGATTTTCGGGGGTCCAAGAGATTTTTCGTTTGTCATTCTTTTTAATGTTTCGTACCAGATCACTAAGCTGTGCTTGATATTGCGATAAGTGTGGTATGCAACGCCGGTAGTAATTCAGAACACCTAGAAAACGTGCTAGCTCCCTGACTGTGTCAGGTTATTTGTAATTCACTATTGCTTCAATGCGGTCCTGTGGTGATTTAATGACATTCTTGCTGACCATGTAGCTCAGAAAGAGAATTTCCGATTTACCAAATTGAGGTTTGTTGACATTTATCCTGAGTCTATGTTGGCGCAAAATGGTAAACACTGTTCGGAGATGACGTTCATGTTCCTCTATAGACGTTGAAGCTATGAGAATGTCATCAATATAGCAATACACGAAAAAATTGGTCCATTAAACGTTGGAACGTCTGCGTCGCGTTTTTCAATCCGAACGGCATGTACTGGTATCAGGCCAAACGGTGTGCTCACGGCAGTTTTTTGAATGTCGTCCTCTGCCATTGGGATTTGGTAATATGCTTTCACCAAGTCGAGTGCTGAAAACAGTGTTTTGTTGTGTAACTTTTCTGCAAAATCATGCACGTGAGCGATAGGATACCTGTCCGGTATCGTCATTGCGTTCAACTTTCGATAGTCGCCACAAGCACGCCAGCCACCATTATTTTTCGCCACCATGTGTAGAGGACTTGCCCCTGGACTTTTTGACAAAAGGCAAATACCTTGGTCCAGTAATGAAGTGATTTCGGCTTTTGCCACATCAAGTTGATGTCCAGATAACCTTCTGGGACGATCAAATACAATGTTGCCTCTTGTCTCAATTTTATGAGTCACCACATGCTATTGAGCGTCGGGAAATGACTGTTTCAACACTGGTCGTATAATATCAACGAATTCTTTGAGCAGATTGCTGAACTTCGCTGTCTCGTCTATTGTAGATATTGTTGATGGCGGAGAAGCTGAAAGACCACCTCGTGTGTTAAGCTTCGTCGTCATGTCTATAAGTTGTTTGCTTCTTAGATCAACTAACAAAAAAAAATGTTTTACGAAATCAGCTCCAATAATAGCAACTTCGACATTTGCGATGATAAATTCCTTTTTACAATTGCACTTGAACCAACTTCAGAGTAATTGTTTTTGATTTTATTGTTTTTAGCAACTAGGCACTTAAACCTATTTGCTTCAATCTTAATAAGCACTTGAAACGAATTAAGACCACAATGAATTCTAGAATTGAATTGAATTTTATTACTAAAAATTTAGGATTTTATACAAATTTTGGTAAGGTGTTGATACATACAATTCCCACGATAATGCCCTATACCTTAAGCTGCATTAAAGTAGCGATTACATATCGCTCAGCTTAGTCGTGGGAACGGTTACAGTTCTCATGGAAATTGTATGCATTTACGAATAACAAATAATTTCCTTAGCAACCTGGTATATGCTTATACACTTATTTTCTTTCAACCTTAAACTAAGTCCATATACCAGCTTGCTTTACAAACATAATTATTATTTAAATAATTATAATACTGACCTTGCCAAACGAATTTTCATTTCTCATAATGTTCTATATTAAAATATTGCACATGCCATATGCATGGCTTATCTGTAGTCTCATATGACGAACAAAGTGTGCTCGTGTGATATATATTTGTTGTTGTTGTTTTTGATAAATGTTGATATCCTAATCCACCGTTCAAGGTTAAGACATTAAGTCATTCTCACTATGAGAATAAAAATTCGCGTTGACAACAAAACAAAAATAATGGAGTAAATCCTATTAAAATAAATGATTTGTAATATATTATGTTAAATGCAAAAATAGGATAAATCTAATTAAATGAAAATATAAGATTTGTAGTATCTTATGTTGATCATTATTATGTCCAAATTGGACAGAGAGTTTGGTTCGCTGCGTATAGTTGGAGCTCTTCTTGTGTTGTTTTGAATTTCATCAAATGCCGTAGTACTACTGATACAACTAAGTCCGAGTCTACCAAAAAACGAAAACATGAGTCTATGTGACATCGCTTAAAGTTTTGGGAGAGCGCGATCGAGAACCGTTGCGACTCGTGGTTGTTTTCCTGAGTTGTTTAACCTGCAGCTTTTTAACTTGGTCAGCAAGTTGTTGAACAGCTGTGTACAAATCATTATGTGCCGTGCTGCACACAGTTTCAGCGGCTTGCATAGGCTGTGGCGATACCTAACACAGCCTCACAATACCTCTCAATTTGCCAATACCGAACGAATTGATTTGGGCATTTCGCTGAGGGAAAAGTGTGCGAATAATTTATTCGCTATTGGGATCCGGTGCCAGACGTCTCATGTGCGAAAGTATTTCCGACGGCTTCATGCCCGTAGTAACTCACTTGTGTAAGGCGAATGCAAACTTGGATTCGGGTCTGATTCTGCAAACTTTCCAAACAAACGTGTCATATTTATTATTTGTTGAAGAATTCGTAATTAAATCTTCAGCAACCATCACGATATCGTCATCCAAATTTACTGCGACCGAATCGAATTTGTCTATATCGTCTCGAATATTGTTTAGATAGAAAACTCGTTCCAATTGTGCAAATCGTACCGTTGGTTTGGTTTTGTTAAAGTTCAGGATTCTCACATTGTGTTTTAGGTTTATTTCTATGATGCCTACTTGTGTATTTGTATTTTGTTCCGCGTTCAACGCTATGTTGTTATGTTTTTGTATTCTGGCATAAGATGCACTACTTGGTAGAGTTTTTATTTGATTTTTTAACGGATTCACCACTTAAGTCGTTCCAAATTTTCTTGTTCTGATACTTGTGATGACGATGATGCGTGTTGGATAAGCCCGTTGATAGTTTTAATGAATGCTGTTTAGCATTTCTGAAACTGTTATTTTACACTTTTAAAAATTTAGTTCTGTAAGTTTATCACTTTGCGCGTCGGGGTCACCACTTTAGTCGTTTTCATTGACTATTTTATTTAGAATACAAGATTATACAACAACAAACACAAAACTACTTTACTAACAGAAAATTAACAATTCAATGTGCTTTTTGTTTAGCATTGCCAGGTGTGTTGTTTTCTTCAAAAGTGACAATCGGATATTTTTACGAGTTGCCATGTTGGTTGTACTGTTGCCACAAAATCATTGTATTTGCTTAAAGTTGAATCCCTCGAAGGGCAGTAGATAGTCGTAACATAGTTCATTTGTATATTTTATTATAATTGTAAATTAAAAATTATATATTATATTTATGTATAATATTTATATATAATGTATATACTGATATATAAATATACGTATGAATATATATATACATATATATATATAAAAGATATTATATATATATATATATATATATATATATATATATCATCAGTCAATAATACGGGTGACTAACTAAGAAAAACAAATTTTTTCTGCCAAAAATCGATTTTACATGCATCGATTTTCAAACATGCATTTCGTCAGCAGGAGCAGATCATGGAATAACAAGCAACAGGCAATGTTTGTCTAAAATCACCTGCTAACAATATCAAAGCACCACCAAATAATTATTGATTTCCGCGTAAATCCGTTATTGTTTTATTCAATACGTCTAATGATTTCTTGTCATCCGTATGACCATCCCATGCGATTATTTTGGATTCTTGCAAAATTATTGCTATTTCAGATGTTTATAGGTAACTTAAGTGCAGAGTGTGCTCCTCGTCTGTTATTTAATAAAGTGGCTGTAATTCCAGAAGAAGCAAGTGCCAAAGCAATTTGATTTTGTGATCGTATTGCACACTAAACCGTATTAAAGAAATAAATTGAATAAAATTCCAATTTTACTTTTATTTTATTTAAAAAAAAAATGGAACAGAATTCAAATAAAAATGACATATAATTAAATTGGATTAAACAACAAAAATCTAGTGAAAATCACTTTTTGTTTTAGATGTCTGTGTAAAATACGTGTTCGTGGTTTTTTTTCTAAACACTCGGCATGATATTACCTTTCCAAAGAATGTATTTTTTTTGACAATAGGTTGGCCAGAATGCTCAAGCATAAAACGTTCACATATGACATTTCAACTTTATATATATATATATGTTGATATAAAAATGTTTAGTAATTAATTTCTGTTCTGACAGCAAAATTTTTTTTTAATTTAAGGGTGTAATGAGCCAATCAATAAATTGGGACATGCTGGAAACACAATACTTTTCGGATGGTAAATATTGTGAACGCCTTTCGAAAATGGTAACGGTTATTGATGACGCGTTTACAGCAGGCCAAACTTTTATCAAAAATTTTAACCAATCGTTAAGTGAGTTAAAACAAGATATTCAGGACACATCGCATGCTTTTGGGAAAAATGTGATATCTAATAAAAAAGGTAAAAAAATAAACTAAACAAATTCGGAAGGAATACAATATACGTTTAAGAATTTTAAGCAGTTTTAGTACATTTCTGTTATGAGATTAAGAGAACGAGATTAAGTTAACCTACATTTTTTATCTGCACCGTCTCTTGTTACGTTTTGTTTCGTGTGTTTGATAAATATCTGTAAATAAAGCATTTTATTACAACTTTGTACAAAAAAATTGTAATATAAATTTAATAAATAGTTTTATAACAATAATTTAATAAATTTTAGTTATAATAATGTACAAAACTACGAGGGCGGTTTGATAAGTCAGTGACTTTTTGAATAAAACAATTATTTTCGTCAAATAAACATTTTATTTTTCACCTTTTAGCTCGATATATTTAGTCCAGCGTTTTTATAATTTTCTAATTCTCTCCAAATAATAGGTTTTCTCAAAGCTCTCAAAATACGCGTTTGTTTCGGTAATGACTTCTTCATTCGACTCAAATCTCTTACCGCCCAGCTATTTCTGTAGGTTTGGAAACAGAAAATAGTCGCAGGGGGCTAAATCTAGAGAATATGCTGGGTGGGGTAGCAGTTCGTATCCCCATTCGTAGATTTAGGCCATCGTGACTAGACAAGTGTCCACACGTGCATTGTCTTGATGGAACAGCACTTTCTTTTTCGCCAAATGCAGCCGTTTTTGCTTCAAATCAACGTCAAATCTATTCAAAAGCTTTGAATAATATTTGCCGGTGATCGTTTTACCTTTCTCGAGGTAATCGATGTGAATGACACCGCTTGCACCCCAAAAAACTGTGGCCATGACCTTGTTGGCTGACAGACTCTGTTTGGCTTTCTTTGGTCCACGTTCACCCCTAACAATCCACTGTTTCGATTGTTTCTTGGTCTTTGGCGTGTTGTGATGGATCTATGTTTCGTCCACAGTAACAAAACGGCACAAAAATTTGTTTGGATACCGCTGAACATCGCTAAACTCTCTTTTGATTGCGGTTATGGTCGAGCGTGAGCAATCGGGTGCCGCATCTCGCGGGGGGTTTGTCATGTCGAAATATTCGCGTAAAATATAATGTACCCGTTCAGATGAGATACCTATCATCCAATATAATTTCATGGAATTTATCGACGATTTCCGGCGTGATCACTTCTTGTGGGCGAACTGAACGTTCGACGTCACTAGTGCTGGTACGACCACAACCGAACTCTTAACCATTGAAGTTGATGGTGCCGAGTCCTCGTAGTATTCATCAAGTCTTTCCTTAGTTTTAGTGATGGATTTTTTACATAAAAAATAATGCTTAATCAGCACACGAAATTCACTTTTTACCATTTTCGTAAAAATTCACGAGGTTGTCTGCTTTGAACGGCTATCAAACATCAACTGAACAACGTGGCTCTAGTTGTGATTAAAAAACTAGATTAGTACTTTAATATCGATGATTGCTAAACGCAGTCTCTTTTCTTTTCTCTTTTCTTAGAAAATAAGTAATATCTAAAAATGATCGAAAACACTATGTAATGTATATAATGATTGGAACTTTATTTTAGTTTTTTGTGTTTAGCTACAACAAACATTAATATTAATTATTTAATATTAATATTAAATATCAACAGGAAAATTAAAATTATTTTGGTCGAAAAAGCACCAATAATATTTATTGATCACTATCAATTTTGACGTTCTGAGGGGACAAAATTTAAAAGATGTAATTTAAATCACTGCATTGTTAGAACACTATTCACGACTAATAATTTTGATTGAGCATATTCGTTTAAGAAGTTGTTTCAAAAATTTAGTTTTAAAAGAGGTACATAATAGTTTCCCCTCAAATAAATAATACACCTCAATAAATATAATTCAAAATATTATATCCTTCACTTTATTTTATTTCCTATGGTTTGACCTAACAATAAAAACGCAGTGGTTAATCAATGAAAATGGTTTTATTATCTTTCGAAATATTCTCCATGGTAATCAATATATTTCTGTGTTGGATTAAATCATTCTTAATGGCAGTTGTCTGCTCGAAAGTAAAAAACCGATCACCACGAATTGTTTCTTAATATTTGGGACCAAAGGAAATTGATTTGATGCCAAGACTGTAAGACCGATGACCCCTTAATTCGATGTTTTGAAAGCTCAGAAACTCTTTTGTTTGGACTCTTCAAATTCCCCGAATATTTCCGGTAAACAAATGGTTGAGTTCCACTCAGAATTATTCATTCTACATTGTTCAAGTGGTAAAGTCGCGACATGAGCGTTTTTTCTAAAAAAATATCCGACCATTTGTTTGGCTTTGGTATGTCCATAGTCCACATTTGTCAGGTTTCGCTTACTTTGGAAAACCCAATCATCGGATTGCTGTTTTGTTTAGGCCTCATAATCGTATATCCATGATTCGTCACCTGTCACAATAAATAAACCTGTATTTATTCAAAATTTCCTTACACAAATTAACGCGTGCCTTTTTTTTGAACGATTGTCAAATTATGGAAATCCAACGGGAACAAATCTTTTCGACACCCAAATGCATATATAAAATTCAAAATATGCTGGTCGCACTTATTATCAAAGACGTCTCTATCTAACGGTATTTAACATGTCGATCCATCTCAATAATTTTTCACACTGCATCGATGTTTTTTGGTAGAACAGCTTTTCTTGAACGATCTTGACGATCGTGGAAAAAGCGACGATCATGCTCGAACTCATTGAAACAGCGTTCGTTGGATAAGTTGATCGGGGCATTCTTTTCTGGTTGATCGAAAATCATTAAAAATCCTCACTGAAAATGTTCATTATTCAATTCCATTTTTTCACAGACATTTTTATAATGATATTTTTGCTAGAAAATATCAAACTTATGAATATAAATGTGAAAATCGGAATACTTGTCATTGCCTAGGCGAAAGACTTAAAAGGAATACAATTGTACGAAGGAATACAATTTTTAATTAAACAATATCTTATAAAGCAATACAGTCTCATGTATGACCAAAATTGTCTAACACAGACTATATTAATACACCAGCCATTATAGGGCTTCATGCAATACTTTGCCGAAAACTTTTGCTATATTTAGAAAAATTCCAGAAGACTTTTTTTTGTCTTCACCTTTCCTATAGTTTCATGTTGTTCGACAGCCAAATTAGTGCTGTGGAATTATATTGTTTGGATAACAAAAAGGTAGAAAAATAAGAAGACTGTTTAGAGAAAAGTATTCTTATAGCTTTGATGGAGTTGGAAGAAGACTTATGGATCTTTTTGACACAACTAACAGTTAATCCAGGACTCTTACTAGGTCTTAGAATTAAAATTATTTGTGACACTTTTCAACTAGAAAAATTGCATAAAACAAATATGTCGAAACCTTACCAGTCATCACCCCAATTACCTCAATTTAATTATTATTCAATATTAACAGAAAACCAAAAATCAGCATTTTCTGCCGTCAAGCTGGCGAGCTAACATTTGTTTCTGGCATTGTGCAAGTCGCAAACGACGCTACCTTCTTTTAGGCATGCCTAATGGTTGAATAGAAAATAAATAAACTAATAACGTTCTTCATAGTCTGGACGAAACTCTAGTTTAACTCTAGTTTAAACTTATAAATCTTTTATCTGAGCCTTTCGACTTACAACAACGTAGAATATTTCATTTTTCTCCTACCACCCACATCTGGGAAGCACTCTCCTATCCAATACATTGCTATGCGTCCTGTAGGATTACCAGACTCCCATAGAGGTCCTAAAAAACATGTATAAACATTAACTTGCATAGTGCACAGAGGGTATAGACAGCAATACTTTAACTCAATCTTAAAAGATTAATATATAATATACACTTAGTTAGTTTTTTTTGTTGGATGTATACAGATAGTACTTTATTTTTTATTAAAATAAGAAAACAGTTATATCCTGGACAGATTTATAAGTATAGTCGCCAACAACCAGCTTGATGCACATTTTTACCAATAGCCGCCATATATTTGGCTTCACTCTCATTCGTCGCTGAGCCCATTTTTGGTTTTGAGCTCATCATATCGATGTCAACGGTATAATGGCATATTGATGATTTTTTATGGGGCTATTGAAAGTTTCTTTATGATTGACAAAAAGATAGTGTTGGTTATGTTCGTGGCCCTTTCCAGGATTTGTTGAAGCGTAAATATTTGATCAATGGTAAGCGACCAAAAGTCCCACTGAAACAGCCCTATCAATGAGTTCGTCCGTGGCTTAAACCTTTCACGGTAAATTCTGTTGTTAAAGGATCTTGTATGGAATTGATGTTATCATCGCCAGATAGTAGTTTGGTGAAATATTCTTTCCATATTTTCAGTGCACTCTGTATATCTTTAACCCGATTATCATTTTCGTTCGTACAGGTTAATGCTGAGGCTTAAAGCGTTAAGACAAACTGTTGACTTTTTGGTAAAACTAGCAGGCATGTTTTCTATTTCTACGCAACTCGATTTTTTTTTCTTAGCGCGTTTTTTTTACAGACGAAGGAAATGCTGAAAAGGCGCTTCTTTAGCTTCCTCATCTCGTTTTTGCAGCTAACGAGGCTGAGAATCTGTTGTTACGTACTACCATTTTTCACGCTGTAGCGGAGTCAATCACCTACAGATCGTTGTTAGAGATAGATTCATAAAGATTGAAATTTCCGACCGATGAGGCAATAATTTTTTCACTTCAGATCTTTGTGTTAAAATCCTTGAGGACAAACAAGGTGGGCAGAACTCCGGTTATAAATTTTCTCGAGTCTCGCGTAGAAAGTAGCTTTAGGTCATTCTTTTCTTCTGTCAGTGTGTGTGTGTGCCAATTAGGTTGATCTAACCGATTTCCCTTGATGCGGATCGTAGGAAGCCTTTCATACACTGATGTCTAACGGTTCAGACTAAGGTGGAAAGTCTCACAAACCACAAAATCATTGTCCTTTGGTCGTTTTAGGGTGTTGCCAACATTTGACTTTCATTGCCCAGGCATCCCTACGTAATTTTTTGGCGTTTGATTTTACGTAAATGGTGACAACCAGTGTGAACAATTCAACATTAAAGTATTGGGGATAAGATTGACTGAACTCTATTAGATGATTATACAGCGAGTGCCAGATAACTATATAAAGGTGCCAAGCAATTGCGCTGGCATTTTTGAAGTTAAATGCAATCAGACCCGTTGCCTTAAACACTCGCTTATAATATGTTTGATTATCTAAAAATTAGTTAATTTTTAATGTTACATAACGTATATTTGTTTTCCTTTGTAGCTACTTATAATATTCATATACTACAAATTATATGTATTTATATTTAAAGATATAAAATCATTTAGGAACAACAACAAGGCTGAAAACTATGTATTTACTAATTTAATGAAGCATATTCTTCCGAAAAGCAATCAAAATGCTTACGAAAACATCGGTTTTATGAAAACTAATTGGTGGGAACGTGAAGCCTTGCAATTTATGAGAGGTATTATGGACGAATGTACCCATTTAAAGAATTTCTCAGTACCAGTAGATACATCTCTGATAATTGTTGTATGTGCTAAAGATGATGCCTATGTTCCTCGGGAAGGATGTTCAAGCTTAGAGGACATTTGGCCCGGCGTTGAAATACGATACCTGGATGCTGGTCACGTTAGTGCTTACGTACTGCATCAAAAACTGTTTCGGTAAAGTATTTTTGTTAAATATTTTAAATCATACATATCTAGGTATGTCTTTTTTATGCACAATTATTTAATATTCAACAAATATACTTTTTCCATGTTTGTCACTAACTTATTGAGTAATAATCTTATGCAAATTTTAGGTAGACAATTTTTTAAATTGTAATGATGAATCCTATTAAAACATTTAGTTTTGCAGTTATGATACGCTTGAATTTTATTCTTGTACATACATGTACTCATTAAAGCGATGTTTACGGACAGAAATTGTTTGGCATGTTACTTCAAAAGGAGGTGTTTCTTGGTTGCATAGCTTTTATATAATTTATGTTACTTATTCTTCTACTATTTATAAATATTCACTAGCTGTATTAAGATCATGTCTTCTGCTGTTGCTACTATAGAGAATTTTTTCTTTCTGATACACTGAGATTTTATTATTTTTGAATCATTAACAACTTTAATTCTAAGAAATTGAGAACGTCTAAATCTTGAATTTTCCATTTTCTCTAAAACTTTGTAAAATTCTGAGAACAAAAAGATCAATGTACTTACTGTTACAAATTCGTTCTTGTCTTAAGATTAGCATGCCTTTAATGACCAGAAGTCTTTAATGATGAAAGTGAATCTATCAGAAGCTTGACCTTGATTTCAAAAATGATGCTGAAGCTGAATAGAAAGTTACTAACATTAATCCCTTCTCTTCAGCTAAAATAAAAATCCTAGTAAAATATCGTCGAAGATCAAAATTTACATCTAGTCTCCTTAGACCTGTATGTTGCTTACCACATACAGTTTAACATAATCTGGTAAGTCCTGTCTATGAAAAAGCAAATACACTGAAAATACAAACATCCCTGACACTCTGTCTATCACAGAGCTTAAACTGGAGTTTCTATTAATGACGTGTGGTTGTGTCATGTTATTATAAAATAAAAATTAAATAAAATACTTTAAATTTCTATTTTTATTTTTTGGCTTGATGAATTTATTAACAATTATACTAACTTTACTAACGGCAACAATTTACTAATTAGTTCAATAGTTCTTCTTTAAGTAACTCTTAAAAAATCATTTTTACATGTATGGTATGGTTAAGTTTGTGGCGATCAGACAGCAACTGTCAGCATTATATAAAAACTACAAAGGCACAAAGATGATATAAAGATGACACAAGGAAGACACAAAGTAAGAAGAAGAGCAACGTCGTATAAACTAACAAGAGGATAACAAAAGAAAACGGTAGCAACAATTTATAACTTTTAATTTGTTGAAAATATATAGGTAAAATAAACAGGCCTACAAAGTCACATTGGCGACCTTGATGTGCTCAAGCAAGTATAGCATTATTCATATACGTCATATAACAATTACATTCACTATTTTGAGAACGACGAGATAAACAAACACAAATTATTGTTTTCAACATATATGTCGCAAGCTGTAACAAGCGACAATGGCGCGCATGATTCAAGCAACCTGCCTGCAAACGGTCGTGCGTCAACTATCGTCCGAAGTGGTAATTGTAAAAGTGACCCAGACATAGTTTATTCAGATGAAATCACAATGTAGAAATACGGGTATTATTACTGACCAAACCAAATACGATCACGTAGTCTGCAGTCTCCATAATGTCACATTAAGAAACATTGCATTCGTGCGCCGCCCATAGGGGACAAATACGAAACAATCAATAGGCGATTATTCCAAGATTTCACATACTCAAAAACCCGTAAATTGCGGCGACTTGTGCAGAAATGCCAAGTACGTTGTTGCGAACTATACGGGATTTAGCCAGTGGTACCACGAATGAGGGATCAATTAAGAAATTGTGGTTGAACCGTTTGCCAGAAGTAGTACGTGTGGTCGTTTCTATTTCGGACGCCGACCTGGACGAATGTACCTTACAAGCAGACTTATGTAGAAATGGAAAATTATCACTTAGTTTCCGGAATACATAGCAGCGAGCGAAATACGAATTCTGTTTTTGAAGTCAGACCATTAGTGAACGGCGCGGAAGAACAAAATAATTAATAAAAGAAGAACAAGGTGTCTCAACAGCAATGTCATTCCGAACGCAGATCGTGTACACCTAAATGAAGGCAATGGTTTTAGAAAGAAAAACTAATTGGAAAATTAGTAGAAAATATCAACGACAATTACATTAGCTTAAATTCGAAAAGTTATTAAATCTAGATTTGTTCTAGGAAGAATGTCTTTTAAGTATGATTAAAATGAAATAATTCATCTGCTAAAATATCTAAAATATATGAAATAAAATGTGGACCAAAGTATATGATGTTTCATCATGTTTTCAAAGAATGAAAAAAGACAAGCGTCTTACTACCGTTAAAACTAACAGTAGTGAACAATAGGACACACCCGTCCCAAAGCCCAAAGGGAGTGCCTATAGCTAAATAGATTTTGACAGCAAAAAAGGAGCTCTAACATCTATTCGCTAGGCATTACATGAAGATACACAACATTTTACGCGAATTTGTCTAGTACAGAAGGAATTACAAGGAAAGGTATCTAATTTTGTTAAGATAGTAATTATAAAATGTAACTATCGCTTATATCTAACCAAATTATGTAGTATTGTTCTGCTTAATGTTGCATGGTGCTTGTTATGTAACGACCTCAAAAATTTGTGAAATATGTTTTTATTTTACATATGAATTCATCTTTCGTTTTTCGCCTTATTAGTGGAATGGTGAAATTATCTTGAGTGTCAGTGATAAGAATTTAATTTCACCTTTGTTGAGTTGTTAGTATATTTTTAAACATAGCTATATATATCAGATCAGATCACATAATTGAAATGTTTGTAAGGTCATTATGTTTATGAAAATATGTTTCATATTCAATTATATTCAATAATTATATTGAATAATTGAATGTGAATATGAATTAAATAACGTTATAAAGTTGTTTTTTTGGCTTTATTGCGAAAATATGTGCTGGAAATAAATTGCACAATTCGTATCGCTTCTCAGCGAGTCCTTATTTGACATATCTTTATAAAGTAGTAAAAGTACATAAGGTTATTAAAGCGCTGTTAAACGATAACGAATCTCTGTTTTTATTGCGGTGGCAATAAGAACAGGCTTGCTTACAGGATTCTAGACATTTTATGTGTGTATTAACGAAAAAATAATAACAACAATCTTCAGAGTTAGGTTTTACTCGCAAAAAAATTTACGTTTTAAGTTTTGGTATGGCCAAATTCAAAAATCAGTCTTTTGTGAATGTTCACTGGAAATATGTTGTAAAATTTCAGTCATCTGTTAAAATCATATTTGAAATATTTAAAAAAATAAATAATTTTAAATATACATGATACAAATGCTTGCCATTGTTCTTCTATTATTCATTTTGATTACTTCTCTTTAAATCAATGCATTTTTAGTGTTTACAATTTTTATATTTCATATTGTACACAACACAATAAAAAATATATGTCGTAAATTTTTTACTGCATATTGGGATGCTTAACGGACAGTAGGCAGATGTCATCCGCGTACACAACATCTATCAGATGTTCTTGGAAATTCCAGGGAAGACCTCTCCGTTTGTTGTCGAAGCACCACTGTTAAACATTGACACATAAGAAACAGGATTGGTGAAAGCAAGCACCTTTGTCTGACGTCTGAATAAGTATTGAAATGCTAAGAATACCGCCCGTTTTGTGCTGCTCTTCACTTAAAGTCTGTATATTGTACCTTGATTAAGTTACGAGCTTTTGTGTTATTGCCCTGTCACTAAGTGCTCGCCATAAGCTATTCCAATCTGTGATATAAAAAACAGTGCGAAAGTCAATAAAAACAAGGTGTACCGATGCCTGCCATTCGCTGAAATGTTCAATAATGACACCTAAAGTGTTTATCTGATCTATGCATGATCGGTGTGGTCGATATCCTGCTTGGGATTTTCTGATAGATACATCCAACGTAGATTAAATTCTGTGTAACAGGGTTATAACTTTATAGTTATTGCATAAGAACAGATCGCCTTTCTTCGGTATGACAGTAAATGCCTATTACCAATATTCGGGTACTAATTACTTTGTCCATATGTCAATAAACAGTGGATGCAACAGTTTGGGTACGAGATTTAAACAGATTTGTAAGATTTCCGCTTGTATGTTGTCGTACCCTGGGTGTTCGTTATTCTTGTGTTTCTTGACAACTGAGATTCTCTCTGAAATTGTTGGTGATTAAAGTTTATTCGGCCTGTGTTAGCGACGTAAGGGGTATTTGAAGACCTTTAATTTACCTGAGTCGAATTCGTTGATGGTGTAGTGTACATAGCTGGAAAATATTCACGTTATCTTAAGGGGAAAAAAAAATACAACATATCTAGTGAGCGAACGAAATTCACAGTCTTAAAACTATTTAAATTAAGTATATTTGTAAAAACCATTTTTGTAATTAATATTAAAACACAAAAAGAATAAAGTTATCGATAAAAAACAATTCGAAAAGTGAAAAGTGCATAAAATATTGATTTGAAAATAACGCGCGCTTTTTCGGATTTTTGTTTATTTTCTTTTTGCACTAATTAAATCTAAATGCTCAAATAGCTGACAGAGACAGCATATTAAAGCTAAAAAACAAAAAAAAAATGTAAAGTTTGAGAAACAAAATATATCAGTGCGCTTTTGTGCATAACATACATAAACAAAACAAAAAGAAGTGCTGATAGACACAGCTATTATTCTGATAAAAACGAGTTCCACAAAAGCTAACACAAAGCTAAGCCTACAATACAATACAATACAACACAACACATAATAACACACCACAACATCACATTGCACAACACAATTCAGTCATCACAACTATCATAATTGGATACATTGTAATTTTATTTTATTTATTTATTTATTACAATATAAAGTATAATATATATATTTACTTTTTTTATTTTTTCTTTATATTTTTTGTTAAATTTTTTTTATATCGATTTAATTTCATTTTAACTTATATTTGTATTAAATTTAC